GGTTGATGAGAACTGCAGACCAACAACTTCTGGAGTGCTACCAATAGTTATTCATTATACATGAAACCACTCATTTGATAATCCCTGATATCTAATAAATATTTTAGTTTGTTTTACGATAGCTAAGTATCTTGGAGCACAATGCTAACAGGCAGCTTTTATACAGATCAAATAAATAAAATTCTGATTAGTTCCAGTTTATATAAATCAATGCTGATTCATGTTGAGTACTACTTGTAGGTCAGTGAGGAGATCTTTCTGGAAGATGTTGTATTGGATTTTTTTTCCAGAAAAGTTTCATATGTAAATAAAGTTTGCATAGCATTCTTTGCACTGGAAATTTTCAGAAGCCCAATAGAATGATCTAATTTAGCATGTTTATATTACTTGTATTTAGTAAACAGCAATTCTAAGAATGTACAACATGTTAATTTTTGTCCAGTTCTTTTCCCCAATATTTGACCTAAAATATTTGAAAGGGGACATTAAAGTATATTTAGAGTACATTGCTATGCTTGTTTACTCAGAAAATGGTCCAGCTCCTAGCATGACTGGCTGGGGAATGCTGGAAGTTGTAGAATTTCCCCCTCCCACCCATGATTTAATGTTACATTATGTAGAAACAGTTACTGGAATATTTGTAAAATTTAAATGCAGTAGCATTTACTTCCCTTACATTGTTTGAGTGTAACAAAAAACAAATGTAAAGGAAAAAAACAAAAAGTGTTGATACACTAGCAAAACTTTCTCCACCATTGAGATACATCACACTACAATGCCCACTATTCCTCAGTAAACACGTGTGCCAATGAATTATGGGAGTTGTAGTAATACTCATAAGGATATCCTGGCAGCCATTCATCTATTGCCATAGAATTCAATTTTCTTCACTAAGGCTGCTGAAGCACCTTTGGTTTTGATGTTACTGCTTATCAGTTCTATTTCACACCAAGATATGTATTTATATTTCAATGGCAATGACTTCTCCAGCATACCAGATAGGAATAATCACCTGTAAAACTAATTAGAACTGTCATGAATTTGGAAGGAACCAGCTTGGGGAAGGCTATTTATTTCAGAGTATACCCAAATCAGCATTCATTCATTCATTCATTCATATCCCACCTTGCCTCCAAGGAACCTAAAGAAGCATGCATGATTGTCTTCTTCTCTCCATTTTATCCTTGCAATAGCCCTGCTAGGTACCGTATTTTTCGCTCTGTAAGATGCACTTTTTTCCCCTTCAAAAGTAAGGGGAAATGTCTGTGCGTCTTATAGAGCGAATGTGTGTGTGCCCGACGCCCGGGATGCTGTCGGCCCGCCTGCACCACGTGGCACCACCTGGCTGGCACGCGCTGCTCCGCCCCCCCCCCGGCGCAGTTGAGAGCTGTGCCACTCAGGGGGAGTGGTGCGGAGGAGGAGGAGCCGTGGGCTTTAACCCGCCGGCCACACGGAGAGACGGACTGCTCACCCCCACCGCCTGGGAAGACCTGCCGCGGCGGAGAAGGAGCTGTGGGCTGAAGACCTGCCGCCGCCACCGCACTGCCCGGAAGACCATCGCCAGCATGCTGCCGGCCCAGCTGCACCACACCTGGCCGGCACGCGCTCGGCGCGTCCTGCTCCGCCCCCCCCCTCCGCCAGCGCAGGTGAGAGCTGTTAATCACAGGTCGGTGTGTGCTTTCAAATGGCAACCCATCTTTTAATGAAGCCCATGGGGAAGTGATGGGGAATGTGCCTGTGATTATCAGGAAGCTTTCCATAGATCTCTCCTCTAAAAACTAGGTGCGTCTTATGGTCAGGTGCGTCTTATAGAGCAAAAAATACGGTAAGTTACATTGACAGTCAGTGACCTGTCCAAAATCACCCAATGACCTTCAAGGCCAAGAGGGGTTAGAGCCTAGCATGCAGAAATGATAATTAAAGTAATATACCTGTTGTTTTCACAAGCATGCATCCCCCCCATTTAATATAGCCATTTGTCATCTAAAATAGCAATGAGAATATCAAAATTTTTCTCTCAATAACATGCAGATCTCTGCTTATCATGTAGACGTACCCCTTTAATATACATGAACATAAATTCTTTTTTATTACAAAGTGAATGATGGGCTGAGAAGAGAAACTACTACATTCATACAACCCAACAGGTCATCCCTAAGTTATAAACCATGATAGTTTATCTTATGTGTACCCATGTCTGATTTTGAAGCAAGTGCTAGACTAAACATTAGTTGTTAGTTTTGATAGGCTGAGAGCATGTGGGTTTGCATGACACTTTTAACCTAGGGTGGTTTATAAGCCTTAAAGTTAGTCCAGTCCCCACACTGTGCACAACAAACACTGGGGCACAGTAGGGGCCCTGACGCACCTCCTCCTTCAGTCCTCTGGCTGGTATACTGTAATGGAAGTGGGGCAGAGATGACAGCAGTCCAAAAGTGCCTAAGCAGCACTCAGAGGCAGCTGTCAGATGTTTCCTCCTGCTAATCCCAGCAGGAAGGGTCTGGCTGGCACTCCATCTCTCCTGAGGCCAGCAATGCAAGGGGTGAGCCACATTCTGCTCAGCCTCTTCTCAACGAAGTTGCGCAGAAAGCAGCTTGTCCCCTGCCTGCCATTGAAGCTGCTTGGCAGCAGCAGGCATGCTGTGCTTGGCCTCCTATCAAGGGGACCAAACACAGTGTTACCATCCCCATCACATCATGGGGCTTAAGTGACCAGTGCACTGCAGACACCAGAAGTGCGCCATCTGCATTAAGCATGTACAGGGTAGATCACATCACGCTCAGCCCCAGAAGGGTACAACAAAGTTCATCCTGTCCCTGCTTGGCAAACTAACAGCTCAGCTACTGACACAGCAGCCCAGGGCGTATTCTTCTGACTATCCGCCAAAGAAGGCCAGAAGAACAAGCCTCCCTGCCTGTTGACATGATCATGGCAGCAGGCAGTGGGGGAATGAACCAAATTCTGCTGAGTCTCCACCAGAGGAGGCTCAACAGAATGCACCTCCATTGCTCAACAAACCAGTCTCCATACTGAGCAAAGGTGAAAAGATAAGCTAGGCCTTCTCAAGAGATAGTCCAGCAGAATGCAATCATACACCTCCACTGCTCACCATAGTCAATGCAGGGAAAAGTGAGTGTTTTGTTGCAAAGAAAAGGTAGCATTTGTCCTTTACAAGAGACCCCCCCAGACCATGGCTTTCTCCTGCTTGCCACTGTGGTCAACCTGCAGACCACAGCTTGGTGGCTTTGCAGGCCTAAAAAAGCTACCTTATTAGGTTCAGACTGCACTAGACCACTGTGGCTTCAAAACCTTGGTGGCTTAGCATGCCATGAAAACCCAGTCACTGTGATTTAGTAAGAAAGGGTACTGATTTCTCTGAGTACCACCCACACTAAGCCATGTAACTTCCTAGAGCTTCCTGGAAAAAGGATAGGATACAAAGAGGAAAATTAGCTGATTAACATGTTATCAAACATAAAGAGATACAAACAAAAATACATGAGAAAAAACTGAAGGAAGGAAAGCATCAGCTTTGGATGGAAGAAAAGAGATCTTGAAAATGTACTATGTATTTAATGTTATAGACACCACTTCAGAAGAAACTGAGGACCAAACTAGATGTGACAGAGCAATTGTACATATGCCTTTTTTTGGACAAAGCTCAACCAGTATCATCAAAGATCTGCTAAAACAAATTTGCATGCTATCTGGTTGAGTAACTGAGTGTACAAGAACGTTTTTAGCTCATTCTTGATGCTGGTTCAAACCAAACTAGATGTGAAAAAGCAGCCAAGTGTATTCCACAGACACATCTGTCCTGTTCACAAATAAAATGAGGTAGATGGTCTATACTTTACACAAAAAGGAGTGTGTAGGAAAGGGAAATAAAATCCATTCCTTGATTTAAACAATTTGCTTCCTGATCAGCTTGCTTCTAGCTTAGGAAGGATCAGAATGCAACAAGGCAAAGATAAGAAGGGGCAGGTGATGTGTTTTATTTATCTTTATTATCAAGCCTAAGATGTTCACAACCCCAACACCTTTATATATGAATGGAGCAAGTGTGCAAAACTGTCTGACCCATCTAATTTGGTTCCCAATTACTCCTGACGAGATGACCTACAGCTCGAAACCCTTTAGCCTTTAATATGTGGTGCCGAGCACTTCTGCAGTTCCTTCCCTTTATTTGTGGAAAAGGAAAATAATTAAAAAGAAAAACAGCACACCCATCAATTAACTACAATCTCAAACATTCCAAATTCCAATACATAATGAAATGTGCGGTGTGGGGGGAAGGGGGAAACTTGCAGCAACAGGATCATAGTGCCCGTGCAAGTCTCACAGGCCACAAGAAATAACACCTGCCAAAGGCTGACAAACGAACCTCACTGCACCACTCTCACGTGTCCTCCTGCACAGCCTGCACCCACTTGAACCGCACGTGAAGAAACAGACTCGCGTCTCCTCCACCCAATAGACGCAAACGGGCTGCTCACCCAACTCGTCCCGCCCCCGCCCGCGCATCACCGAGCTGCTACTCCTCCCTGCCCGCCCGCACCACCTTCGTCCCCTCCCTCCAAGAAACAGGCTCCGCACAACTCCCCGCAGCCGCATTACAGCCCAATCAGGCCCTCTCGCCTGGGCGCTCCCCGGCCCTACTCCGACCCCGGGGCCGAACTCTGCGTATCCAAGCCCGGCTGGAGCGGATCCCACCGCCTCGGAGAGCAAGGGGTCGACCGCAGAGCCCCGGCGCCTCAGCTGGGCCGCGGCGGCCCACGCGACGCAGGGGCGAGCCGCTCCGGCGGTGCGCGCGGCCTGCTCCCCTCCCCCACCACAGGCCTCGGCTCCGAGAACAAGGCGGGGGGGGGGGGGCGAGCCAGCGCCAGCGGGGCCTCCCGGCCCGCCCCCGGCCTCCCCTGAGCGCCCCGCGCCGGCAGGGGCGCCTCCGGGCCCACCCCGCGCTCAGCCTTCCGCAGCCAAGGGTCCGACGCAGGACTCACCCGCTTCCCTAAGCCAAAGGCCGACAGGAGAGCGGCAGCCGCGGCACGCACAGGCTCAGGACGAAGAGGGAGCGCAGCCAATCCCGTCCCGCGGCCTCGCGGCGCCGGCCAATCCCGCCTCTCACCTATCAGACAGGAGCCGGTCAACGGGAAAACCGGGGCGGAGGCTGGCTGTGCGCGCCCGGTGCCGTGCGGGGTGCGGGCTCTGTCAGCGAGCTCCCCACGCACGTTTCATCCGAGCCAGTCCGCATCCACCCCATGCGGCTCCACCCCCCTCAGAGCGTTGCACAGCCGCAGCCCGTCCTCGCTTCCTTGCAGGGCTGTGGAAACCGCTCCCACACCAAAAGTTACGCGTGCGGCGCGACGGACGCAGTCCCCGGCAGGCAGAATTCAACCTGTCAAAATGCAGGCGGCCCCACCACCAGAGCAAGCTAAGCAACGGGATATATGCAACACAGCACCTCTCTGCTGGAATTAGCAATCCCCTATAATTGCTAAAGCGGGTATGAACAACCACTAGGAAAGCTTTCCTCAGTGGGATGCTTAGGACTGCGACTCCCATCAGCCCCGACAACATGGCTAATAGTAAATGATGCTGGGAGTTGTAGGCCAAAATGGTGGCGTGTACTTAATTCATTTTCAATATGAATGGGGCACAGGCAGACCCATTTGGTTTCCACTGCCAGATCTAGTCTGATTCTTAACAAAGCAAGGTCAGGACAGATCACTTCTTACAGTCCAAATGTGCCGTCACAGTTAATAGATCTTGAAGAGGCAGTCTTGGCTTGCAAATGTGAACTGAATCAAAGGACCCAGGTGGTGGGGTTCTCTAATACAAAATAGTAGGAATTAGAAGCCCTACCAGGAGGCAGTGTCATGATTGGCTCAGGTGAAAGGTGCTGAGTTAGGGCAGCGGCCTGTCTCCCTGCTGTTCTCATGAACTCTCTGACTGTTCTCTGCATAGTGTGTGCCACACAAGCACCTCCTAAAATAGCATTCTGCTGCCTCAGGGGTGGTGAAGGAGGCTACCTCATTGCTAGTTTGAAGTAAGATTCAACTGCCGGTGCAGTCAGTTTCAATAGGTAGACAGTGGAGAGCATGCCACCATCTTTGCTTAAGCCATCAAAACATCTTGAGCCTGCTGTGACTGAAAGACTGAATCAGTCCAACCAGCCACAGAGCAAACAGCACACCCATTGCCTCATTACGTCACCACCACTCTGGGAATATAAACTGCCTGATATCAGTTCAGGCTATCTGTCCCTCCAATCCACTACACTGGCTGCTAGAAGTGCCAGCAGAGGTCTTTCACACTATTACTTACTCTACATTTTTTTCTATTGGAAATAGAAGGGACTGAACCTCAGATCCTTTGCATGCAAGTCCTACTGACTCGCCCTAGCTCGTTGGGCTGTCGCCATAATGTCATTGCAACAATACCATAATATCTCCCTGCCACTTTATTGCATCAGCGCTGTGACTTAATAGACAAAGATCCCCACCCCTCACCATAGTTTAAATCAAGCATTTCAGCTGTCATATTTACAGCTTGGGTATTGTCAGAAGCCAGGTCTGCTGTTTTTCTGCAGCTACACTGGCTTCTTACCAGCTTTAGGACTGAATACAACATGTTGGTTACCTATAAAGCCATATACATTCTGGGCTTGCCATACATGGACCTCTGTCTGATCATTGTCTCTGAGAAATAAGCAACCATTTAAAGTGGCAATTTTGTTAGAGAGTAAATCCCATTGTACTTGCTTTTGTTTGTGCAATACCAAAATTACCAAAGAAGAAAGAGAAAAGCCATTCATTCATTGATTTATTATATTTATATCCTACCTTTTTTCTTACAAAGACTCAAAATAGCTTACATCATTCTCCGCCTCCTTTCAATCTTATCCCCACAACAACCCTGTGAGGTAGGTTGGTTTGAGAGTCTGTGGCTCAATCTGCTCTAAATTCTAAGAGATGGCTAGGTAATTCAAAAGTACATGTGTATCCATAAATATTAAAGAACTTCACATCACAAAATTTATTATCTCCCCCAAGAAGGAAACCATCATTGGGCATTGCCAAAACATACAGAGAAGCATTAGCAGCATTTCTAACAATTTTGTATGCAGGAAATGACTGAACACAAAGATAAACTATTAAGTCTGATAACACCTGCCTAGAAATACACCTTTCAAGCTCTGCTTTGAGTCTCCTCTTCCATTCCCATCTTCCCGAGTAGGATTTCACCCTTGGTGATGTGCTCCATTCAGTCCTGTTTGCATGGGCTCCTTAGTTAAATGTTCTCTTAGTAGGATTTGTGAAACAACTTTATATCTGACATCCATGCCCTGAAAAATATTCTCAAGAAGCTTCTCTGTGGATTCCATCTTTCATCATGTTACCTGTTTTCCTACTTTTTTTTCCCAAACTGGTGCTGATTGTTTATAGTGTGTGCAGACAGTATTCATAGTTAAATCAAGAATTCTGAAATACTGGCTTTCCCTATGACATACATTAGACTACAGTTCAAATCATATTACATCATTGTTACCCATTCCTTGATATCACACACATTTCTCAATGATCAATTCTGTTCTGAATATTAATATTTTAACCATTTTATAAACAAAATCCTTCATGGTTGAGAACATGTGTAGCATTTCAGGAATTTGATGGCAGTAAGCAATGGATAGACCCAGCACTAGAAAGATCTCTGCAGTGCTGCTGCAATGCTGCTACAACAGAGAGAAAAAATCTCTTCTGTGTTCCAGATTTTAGACCAGTAATAGTGGCGAGGAAGTACATATTTGCATTTGTGCTGCATAGGTGGAAATGTTAAGTACTTGCACTGATTTGAGCTCTACCTATCAGTAGTGACTTCCACTGCACTTATGAGGCAAGAAATGAGAAAAGGAAGAGAACTGAAGAAAGAAGGAAAGAAGTTGGTAGGCTAGGAAAGGCAAGGATAACAATCAAAGACTATACAAGCAGGCCAAGGAATGCCCGTATTATTTTGCCAACAGACTGTGAGTCTATATGGTACTCTGTTATGATAGGCTAAATCTAATATTGCATAAGCAGAAGTCAACTCATGCAATGGGAATATCCTCTTCCGTTCCCCGTGTAGCTTTCCCTATGCCCCCTAGGTTTGCTCCAGAGCATTCCACTCGCAGTTCTCCAGAGCTGATTTTGGGGGCATGTGGAAATTTGATCTGCCAATGCCAATGTCATCTGTTCTGCTGGTGAAAGCACAGCACTACATACAACCTCATATTTTATTATACAGCTGCACCTCATATGTAGAAGACTCATCCATGTAATTTAGCAGAATGATATGGATTCTCAGTCAAGCTCCCCATATAATAGAGCTCACTGTGGGGGTGCTTAGCTGTTGGTATAGGCTCAGTATTGGAACTGGATGAAGGCCTAGGCTTCTGAAAGGCCTTGGGTAAATTACTATCCCTCAAAACAGTTGTGCAAATAAAATAAGATTAGGATATCTTGTAAATGCTATAAGCCATCAGGATAGCATCTGAGAACTATCAAAATAAGTAACAAGTCTAGTGTTTTCTGGGTTTTCAACAAGATGCCCTCCATGTATCCTGAAGATCATTGTGCTGACAAGTTTGACAGGTCTACACCATAGCCCTCCTATTACCCTGCTGTTCTTCTGAAGGAAGCGTGGTATTCTTGGAATTCTTTCTGCTCGGGACTTCACTAGTTTCAAAACTAGCATAGGGCTTGGGGTTATGGTTAGATCTCTTAGACACAACAGAGTAATAACTCTTAATTTCATAAGCTAGTAAGAGGCTGGGCAATTGTGATGAGTAAGGAAGTAAACAGGCAAAATGTTGGCTGGTGGTAGCTTACCTGCTAGAGCAAGAGAAAATAGAGTGAACCAAATCAACATGGATAGAAAGAGAATGAGGCAGACAGGATATGAAAAGAATGACAACTGGGAATAATGAGACCAGGGTTGCGGGTAGAAGGGGAGGCACTGACCTAGGGCTAGAACTGAAAGGACTTGTTTGGAACCTGTGCCAGATAGACAGGAAAACAATCACACTTGGGTGAGCTGTCATTCATTGAATTCTAGACTAATTAGGACATCTATAACCTAGCTTCATGCTAAAAATAATCAAGGTGGCTAAACTGTGGAATCGGACAACAACATGCTAAAATTCTAACTGTACTAGGAAGCTTTTTTCATAGGGAACATTCAGTCTCCACCTGCAGTTTGGAGCAATGCAACCTAACACAGCTTCCCCATCTCAATGATGGCTGGGGTGGCCATGTGTTCTCCACTGCAGTGGGCCAGGGTTGTAGTGGAGGGGGCCCTGGGGGTTGGAGCACCCTCACTTATTTTAGAGGGGACCCACAGGGCGACTGGATCCCTGAAGTGACCAGGGATCCCTGGTCCCTGTATCTTCCCCCTCCCCCCACTGCTTCTCAAGAAACTTAATTTTGCTGGTTTGTGGCTGGCAACTGCCACTGTGTCAGAGTCCTGAATTTAATGGATTAAGAACAGGATATTTTGTTTTGTTTTGATTTGATTCAGTTCTCAGCAGTTCTTGGCAACTACCTATCTGGAGAGGCCTGCCAGGCATGCACATGTGTTTTCTGTGCCAATCTCCCTTGCGGTCAGCCTCTGCTCCTCAGCAGCATGTTGTCAGCTTACCTTTGCTGCTCCAAAAACTATGTCCCATCCCCCCTGCATTCACACCACACCTTTAGAACACCTTTATTCAGTGCTTTTTTTGTAAAAAAAAAAAAAAAAGTGCCGGAACGGAACTCACGTCCCGGCAGTAAGCACGTGACCACACACACCAATCCCAACCCGAGCAGCAAGAGCAGCACCCTCACTATCTCACTATCAGATCGCCGATAGCAGACCCAAAAGCAGCCTGCAGGCACTATGTTAATGAAGTTTGCTGCTGATCTGCTACGATTCAAAATCATTTCGTAAAATCCATTGGAAAAAAAGGTGCCGGAATGCTGTCCGGTGCGTTCTATGACAAAAAAAGCCCTGCCTTTATTCTACTTTAAACAATAATTACTTCCCCAACGAATATTGGGTACTATTTGTCAAGTTTGTCAAGGGTACTGAGCATCATTAGTGGACACCTATTCTCATGCAA